CACACTCACCAGCCAATATTTTCACTCAATTCATTTGCCCCTAAACCCTTCTGTGAAAGGAGGGTTTCGAGAGAGTGTGGTACCCATATCACTGACCACACATACTGTTCACAGTACACCAGGTGATCACGGAATTGTGCATTTATTTTAATACGCCAAGAAAAAAATAACATGCCAGCAGCATGATTTATGAATAGTAGTGACAGGAGAAAACCACAGGAGGCGTTAAGTGTTTTAAGTGAATGGATTTAAGGGAGGATCTTAAATAAGTCATAATCCTACAGTTGACGGCGATCCTCAGCCATGGCGGAACTCACCGCCTTTCCACAATAACGGAATATGAGAAACACCGTATGGGGGGGGTGTGGGTTCTGTCCCGTCTCCGTCCTCACTGGTCGCTACAATCCTGGCTTCTCAGCATCACAGCTGTGCTTCCACTTTTTGGCTGTCCCTCATCTTTTCCCCCCATTCTAGTCCCGGTGACCCCTGGCCCATAAGTTAGTGAAGGGATGAAGGGATGAAGGGATGAATTTTACAGAATACAGCATTTCGAATCTAAGAGCAGCTGATGGACGACTGTGAATATCTATGTGCAAGGAACATCAACCAACACACAGCGTTGCAGCTCACAGCGTGCGGAAGAGAACATTTCCTTCCAGACTCAGCCGGTGCTGAACGCGGCACCCACTGCAAACGGCCACCGCCCTGGAGCAGGCCGACACCACCGCCACAGAGCATCCTCTCCGACTGGCGTCGTCTTGGCCAAACCACCTCACCTGTGCTTTCAAAGCATTTGGAAAGATGATAAAGGCTTCAGGTTCGTTTCAGCTAGAGTGGCAGATTAGGAGAAAGAAAACCAGAGAGAGAGAGAAAGCAAAATTCATCCACTAATAAAGCTCCCAGGGCTCACTGTGGCCGGGCGCTGCCCAGACAAACACCTTCGCTCCTACAACAGGCCGGCAGTGACTCTAGAGAGCACGGGTCGCAGCGGCTTTGGGAGTGTGCCCCGAAGCAGACTTGGCCACTATCGTAGTCCAGCTTTTCATTATGAAAACTCCGTCATTCGGGAGAGTCGAGCACCATGGCCCTCTGCACACTCACCACCTGGATTCAACAATGCCTAATGGTTTTGCCATATTTCCTTTTCCTCATTTTTTCCTCCTGAACCATTTAAAAATAAGTTGCAGGCATCATGAACTTCACTCCTAAGCACGTCAGCGTGTATCTCCCAAGGGCAAGAACGTTCCCCTAGAACCAGGTGCCTTGATCACACTTGAGAACGCTCTCTAAGTTGCTGGTCTCACTGTGTGCCACATGCGTTAAAACTGTCCTAATGGTCGCATAATCGAAAGAAGCTTTTATAGATATTTTCCTGAGCCAGGATCCAGTCACAAGTCATTGCTGCATTTGGTTATGTATCTTTAATCCATTTATTTTAGAACAGCACACCTCCACCCCCATGGACTATCTGACCAGACCAGATTTTTCACATTCTGGATGTGGTTTAGCTTGATTCTCTACGCTGTGTCACTAAGGTCTGGGAACTGGACACCATCAGCTTGGGCATCTCTGGCAGCGGCTCCTTGGGGAGGGGGAGGACCTCGTGGTGAGTCTGTGCACTGCCCGTGTGGACCGGCACCTCGCGATTGTGCGTGAACAGTTCAACCCAGAGACGTGCCCTGTGCTGACCCAGGTTACTGAGTATCTGCTACCGTCCATATTAGCACATTCTGACATTTCAGTGGCGTAATGCGGCTATTCCTGCCTCCCGCCCTGCCGGTCGCTGTGCTCCGGCCCCTGCTGGGCACTCAGCCGCTGGTCCGTGGACTGCAGCTGCAAGGACGGTGGTTCCGAGAAGCGGGCGGAGCGGTCGCTGTGCCGCCAACACCAGTGCGGGAGCAAATGTCGGCGCGGGAAGCAGCGCACGCGAAGGAGGGGCGTGCGCGGGTCTCCCCCTAACCTCTGCTGCACCCCACCTGCCAGGCCTCAGGCCCGTGCGCGTACTATCGACTGTTAGAAGGCTCCTTGTTCTCTCGGAGGCGACAAGGTACCAAACTCTCCTATGTGGAGAAGGGAAGGGAAAGACGCCGATCACTTGAAGGGGCACCGAAGGGAGGCGCACGGTTCCCCTGGGGCTGGGGCTGGGGCTGCACAGCGCGGCGCAGAGACCCTACTGAACGTCCGTGTTCCCCCAGCCACAGGCGGCAGCTTCTCCTGACACCAACTAGACGGCCCTCCCCCTCCACTCGAGGCTGAAAGACAAACGCCGCTCTCCCCGCTCTGCCTTGGGGGTCCCAGCCGAGGGGGGCCTAGTGTTTAAGTATCTCAAGGGCGGCGGGACTCCTCCTAGTGGGTGGTCGGGTGCCCTCTGGTGGGCAGTGGGAAGAAGGCATGCGGCAAAGCAGAAATTCATTTACGTGTGTGTTTCTCAGAGAATATTCTGGGTACATTTTAGCAAGTCCGTTACCAAGAGGGTTTGGGAGAAGAGCCGCAGCCCGAACCACCAGCCTTCCACACCCTCCCAACTGAGACTTAAATCCTACAGCGTGGGGTGCAGGGGAGCCCTGCCCCGCATCCGGCGGGTCCTCACCTTTCGACTCCCTTGTGGAAGAGCCACCATCACGGGCTCTCAGCCACTTGTGCCACGGGCTGGTCGGCGGGTGTGTCGCTACTGCTTCCTGACCAGCAATATCACGCAGCAGTAACGTAAGGTCAAGGTCACACACAGAGAGGAAGGGGCGCAAGAGATTATGTCTCAAAGCAGATCATCCCAGTCGCTCGTGTGCCTCCACTGCAAGGACCCCGGCCCAAGCCACGACCTCTGGCCTCTCACCTGGACGAAGCAGCAGCCTCCTCCCCGGGCTCCGGCTTCCCTGCCTCTGCTTAGCCTGTTCTTAACATGGTGGGTAGAGTGGGCACACTTAGTCTCAAGTCAGGCCGTGTTGCACTCTGCTCAAAGCCTCCAGTGGTCTCCCCTCTCATGCAGACTAAAGGCTAATACCATCCTCAGCAATCTAGCGGCTGCCGCCCACTCTCCTGTCCCCAGCTCCCTGACTTCACCCCCCAGCACATTTCCCCTCCTCGCTCCACTCTAGACTCCATCCATGGACTCTGCCATTTCGGGAACATTCCAGGCATGTTCCTGCCTCAGGGCCTTTGCGCTTGCTCTCCCTCTACCTGGAATGCTCTTCCCCGGTTCACTCTCACCACCTCAGTCCTCCTGCCCAATACACGCCTGGCATTTGCTACACTGTGGGCTTTCAGTGCTGATGCAAAAACGTGCTGTGGCTAGTTATTTTGTTCATAAATTTTGCGAGAAATCTGCCCAAGCTCTGATACCAAAATTCTACCATTGCCCAAACAATTATTTTTTGCAATATTGTATCCATTTTAAGATGATGAAATGCTTAGCTAGCCAAGACATGATTGTGAATAACTAAATTTATTTTTTTTTATTGTAGGATTTCATTATATTGGGGAACTAGAAATTGGTATAATAGTAAATTCCATTAACACATATGTGGCAGATGTTGTTCTATGATTTTTTTTTTTATGTTACATAGTTCACACTATTGATGTGTGATTGACAGATAAAAAGCTATGCGTATTTAACTTAGACAACTTGAGTTTGGAGATAAGCATAAACATGCCCATCACCTCCAAAAGTCTCTCTTATACTTTTGTTGTTGTTGTTGTTGTTAATCCTCACCCGAGGATATTTTCCCCTTGGTATTTAGATAGAATAGAAGGGAGAGAGGGAGCAGGAGGAGGGGGGAGGGGGAGAAAGGGGAAGAAAGAAGGAAAGAGGAGAGAGACACACTGATGGTTGTCTTCCGCACAACCCCAACCAAGGAAGGGGCCTCGACCAGGAATTGAACCGGCAGCCTGTGTTTTTTCATGGTAACATAAGATCTAACCTCTTAGCCAGTTTTCAGGTTGCCAAACTGTCCTGGGTGAACTTTGAACTGGTGAGAAAGCCCGGGCTGGAACCGCTCTTCCTTACGGTCCTCAGTTTGACCGCGTGGCACCCGAAGGCACCTGTCCCTCTCTCTCCTTGACTCAGAAGGAGCAGTTATTTTTGTTACTGAGCACTCTGCAAACCCGGGCAGAGTCCATGGTCGGCATTAACAACACGACTGCCAGAACCGGAGGCCGGGGCTGTGGGTCAGCAGGGCCTGCACGCGGAGGTCTGTCTCCGCCTCTGCGCCCCTCCCTTAGCCTCTCAGGCGGGCGGCAGTTCGTGGAGGCGGGGCCCCGGCCAGCACTCAGCCGGCCCCGGCCCTGCACTGCGCTCGCTGGCAGGGCTCGGCTCTGCTCTCGGCTCACACCGAGACTCCCGCTGCAGGTTGAGAGGGGCGCCGCGCTCAGTTTGACGGCCACAGGACGACGGGGATTCTCCAGTGGCAGCAGATACTTCCGCTCGTCCCCTCCCTTTTGCAAACTACACACCCAAGAAGTCCACCCGACAGTGGGGGGAAAGGCAGGGACCTGTGTCAGGGGAGCAGCCCCCCTGAAATAGGCCTGTGACAGATCACACACATGCTCTGAGCCGCGGGTCCTCCGGTTCCGATTTGATTAAACTGTAGTACTAGGAAGGTCACTGTCCCCCTTCTGTCTCAGCGCACTTCACTGTCCTGACCTCAGCCTCTTACCTTGACCGCTGACCTCTGACCACAGCAGACTACAGTACCCGGTTCTTGCTGATGGGCCAGGGTCTGGCCCCTGGCAGGCTCAAGCTAACATCCCAGCCCTGGCCGGTTGCTCAGCGGTTAGGGCGTCTGCTGCTGACCGAAGAGTCTCAGAGTCTCAGGTCTGATTCCCGGTCAAGGGCAGGTACCTGGTCAAGGGCAAGCAATCAGTGTGTCTCTTTCACACGTGTTTCTCCCTTCCTCCCTCCCTTCCTCCCTCCCTATAAAAAAAAAAAAAAAAATCAATGGAAAAATATCCTTAAGCGAAGATTTTTAAAAGAAGATAACATCTTAATCTGAATTATGTTTCAGCTCCTGAGCCCTCAGCAGGACGGGCCCTCGGCCACCTCTCCCTGAAACCTGGTCTGGATGCAGGAGCCGACCTCAAGCTGTCCTCCAGACCGGAAGAGATGATTGATTCCCCTTATTCACACCTCTGACCAATCAGCTCCCAGCACGACCCCCACCCCTCACCCTGCTGTCTTGTGATTCGCACTCTAGACCCTGTAACCCAGGCCAAGCCCAGTGGGGGCTCAGAGCAGAGCTCGGGTTCCGGGTCGACCAACTCCAATAAACGAATCAATTTTCCTCACTGCAAACCGGCTCGTGCACTTTCTGGCCAGAGCGCGAGGCACTTGGCATCAGGGCCTGGCCACCTGCGCAGGTGGACGGTCGGAACGATTTCTGCCTGTTCAGGCTGGGTGGCTTCTTTGGTTTGGCTGCGTCAGTCAACGTGATGGTATCCGCTTTCCGGCTGGGACCTCCTCAGGGTGGGGCTTGGGCACAGAGGGTTTGCCTCTGACCAGCAGCCACCAGCTGGGAGGCGGACCTGCACTGTGGCCCCACCGGGTCCGCTTTCACGGTGCCCGATGCGGTGCCCGATGCGTCTCCTGGCGCCCTCTCACTTCCCAGAGCCCTGAGGGGTTGGAGTTGATGCTTCACCTTCTTCCATGGTAACCCAGCTCCTCACCTCACTACTTCGTCACCTCACTGGTAGTGTTTTCAACACAGTGCTTTTTACTCGTCTCTCCCCACCCGCCCATCGCCCATCTGCCGGAGCCCCCCCCCCCCGCCCCAGCGCCCCGGAGGGAGGCCCCGCTCCTGCCCCCCTGCCCCAGCGCCCCGGAGGGAGGCCCCACTCCTACCCCCCTGCCCCAGCGCCCCGGAGGGAGGCCCCACTCCTACACCCCTGCCCCAGCGCCCCGGAGGGAGGCCCCCACTCCTACCCCCCTGCCCCAGCGCCCCGGAGGGAGGCCCCGCTCCTACCCCCCCCTGCCCCAGCGCCCCGGAGGGAGGCCCCCGCTCCTACCCCCTGCCCCAGCGCCCCGGAGGGAGGCCCCCGCTCCTACCCCCCCTGCCCCAGCGCCCCGGAGGGAGGCCCCCACTCCTACCCCCCTGCCCCAGCGCCCCGGAGGGAGGCCCCGCTCCTACACCCCTGCCCCAGCGCCCCGGAGGAAGGCCCCGCTCCTACCCCCCTGCCCCAGCGCCCCGGAGGGAGGCCCCCGCTCCTACCCCCCTGCCCCAGCGCCCCGGAGGAAGGCCCCGCTCCTACCCCCCTGCCCCAGCGCCCCGGAGGGAGGCCCCCCCGCTCCTACCACTTCAAGTCTTTCTGCTCCGAGAAAGATGGAAACAAAACCCCAGGGAAGGGGAGGGTCTGTGGGCTGTGGTCAAGCAGCCCATTCCCAGTCACTGTCCTGCAGGGACTGCACTGCTGGCTGGGACATGGTCCCTCCCTCCTAGCAAGAGCCTCAGCTCCCCACCTGAGAAACGAGATTGGTTCCCTCCACCTCCCAGCTCTCTGCTCGGATTCTAAGATCTCAAGTCAAAGGACTTTACAGATGAAATAGTGCAATTCTCTGATTTCACAGAACAGAGGCCTAGGAAGGTGAAGTGGGGTTTCCCGTCTCGCTGCTAATTAGCAGCTCCCAGGTGTGAGGTGTGGCGGGTGTGCGTGCCCGTGCCTGCAGGTGGCATGCGTGGGAAGGAGCCCAGGGTAGGAGGGGACAGGCACAAGGAGACTGTCTCTTTCCTTTTGCAGATCACCCCAGAGACCTTTCTTGACTTACAGGTGGAACTGGAGATAAATGGATTAGCCAGGTGTATAAACCTGGATTAAAAACTTTCTGAAAAATCAATTTGAGAGAGACGATTTGGGCAAATAAAATATGATCAGCTGTGTCAGATAGCTTGAGTAGATCGATGCCTGCACGTCTGGTAAACAGTTTCTGATCTGCGGCTCCCGTCCCCGTGCTGCTGATGCTACCTCAGTAATTGGACTGTGGGATGAGGCCAGGTAGAGTGAAAGGCATTAAAAATGATGTTTCTTCAAGTGAAAATTAATTTATTTGCTGACCAACAAAGACCAAAGTAATTTCAGAACTTTAAGGATGGCGAGACATCATACAATTATTTACACTTTTCACGCTGTCCTTACATTGGACATGGAACCTGCTTGGAAATGAGAAATGGCCCTGCTGTCCCCACGCACGACGTCTGCGCACGCGGAGCAGGGCCGGCCCTGCAGGGGAGGTGGCGTGGGCACCCGAAGGGCTCAGAGAGGCCCCGCCGCAGCCAGAACGACCTTCATGGGAAGCGAAGCTCCAGCCGCTTCTTACCAGCTTGTAATGGTTCGTTTGCTAACATCCCTTTACTACACGAAAAGCAGAATCCTTTCCAGAAACAAATCCACCCAGGGGATGGTCTGTCTTTCCAGCTGAGTTCAGGGACCTCACTTCAGTAGTTTGAGATAGGTCACGAGGACGGGCGGTTACACCACGGGAATCGGCCAACGCGACAACCAGCCCAGCCGCTGACCGCGGGACACTCAGCAGCCGCCGCTGCCCAGCACCCTCGGGGCTCAGCCGGCAGCCGCACGGGCCGGGTGAGCAGTGTCCCTCCCCCGCGGCACCAGCCTGCGTGGGCTCCCTGCACGGTCCCCGGAACGCCCGTTCCTGCCGCCGAGAAGCCCTTCCCTAGAGCCCTGCCTGACCGTCCCCCCTCTGGAGGCCTCGGCTGGAGTGGCACCTCCCCAGAGACCTCTGGCCTGTCCTCGCAGTCACTGTCACAGCGCCCGAGTTTACTCGCTTCGCAGACTTGCTGCGCGCTGGGTGGAAGCTTCCTTGCGCGTGTGGATCTCACCCTCCGGTTTGCCCAGAGCCCGGCCCAGGCCGCTGTCCCTTGCTGAGTGGAGGGAGGCATGATGACCAGTACGGTGCCTCAACACCGCCACGCTCCTCATCCTTTTGCTCCTCCATTTCGGTTCTCAAAGTAATTTCAGGGGCGACCCTAATGTCAGTCACTTCCAGTGACTAAAACCCCCGGAGGAGTACGTTTCTCAATGTATGTCCTCCTGAGCCAAGGGGCCGCGCCACACGTGCCCAGCAGGACTCTGCCCCTCTGCCGAGGGACATTCCGGACGCCGCGTCAAGGCCACAGGCCGTCGCGGCTGCAGTGAGGGATGCGAGCGGAGACTCCATTCATAAAAACCTTTGGTCACAGTCCTGGGCTGGGAAACGTGTCCGCGAAGACACTCTCACACATGGTTTGTGGGAGCATAACTTGGTTCCCCCTCTGACAATATCCATTGAAAACCCGGCTCTGGGAATTTAGCTGAGAGATCATCTCACACAGGTGCGAAGCTCCAGGTGTACCAGGTTACTCCCAAGGTCCTTCGGCAGGAGCCTGGTTAAGCACATTACAGGAGGGCCAGAGAAAAAGGCAGAGGAAGCTCTCTGAGGACGGCTGTGGAACCGTCCCGGAGCTGCGCTGGGTGACCCGCAGGCACGTCGCCCTTCATGTACAAATGGGCGAGGGAGAGGAGTGCACAGGCTCTCACCTATGCTGTACATGGGGGTGACACCTCCGGAAGGGTGTCCAGGAAACCGGGGCCGCGATGGACGCTGGGTGGCCGGGGGACAGGGTAAGCTGGGATTATACTCTGCCTTTAGAATTTGCACCACGTAAACGTATCTCCCATGTGAGAATATTACCTTAGAAAAGGTAAGCTGCAGATCTGGCACCGGGCCAGTTACGATAGAAATTCTCTGCTCTGTCAGGCTCCTAAGTCAGCAGAACTGTCCCCTCCGCTCTTCTGTGTGATCTGAGCCAGAGGGGACACCCGGGGTGGCGTCTGACCTGCCGCTGCCGCCTCCGCTGGTTTCTCCACACGTCCCCGGCCTCAGCGTGGGGACTTCCCCTCCTGCTTGGTGGCCTCCTCCCATCCACACACGGACGGCTCCCAATCTGAGTGTCCAGCCTGGGCTTCTCCCCTGAATTCAGACCCCTGTCACCAACGCTTAGTCGACATCACGCAGACGCACTCACCTCCAACACCACGGCCATCTGCTGCGACACACGGTCCTCCTCGGCCGCAGACGGTCAGAACTAGTGACCCTCCTGTCATGGTCTGCAAGCCGGGTCTCCCCGCCCTCCTATCCCGAATGCAGCCGCTTCTCCCCACTGGTCTGCTGCCATGTGGCTACGCCAGGCTCACTGCTCACTGGATGAGCGCTCAACCTCCTGATCGGTTTCCTGTTTGCCCTGCAAACACAGCGACCTGATCCTGTTAAACCCTAACTCAGCCTGTCTCTCCCCTGCTCAGAGCTAGCAATGGGTCCCCCGTGTACAGCCCAGTCTCCGCAGCCCGTCACGACCCCGCGTAGTCTGTCATCGCCCACCCTGCTCCCGCGTGCGTGGCTCCATCTAACAAGCCTTTTAGGGATCTGTCCTGGATGCTCGTTCCCTCCCCCGACCTCTGCTGCAGGAGGGCGGGATGTAGTGCGTTTCCTTCATGGCCGTGTTGCCAGCACACAGAACAGTGCCCAGCGTCTAGCAGGTGCCCAACAGGTATTGGCTGGCTCTTGGGGCAGTGGCTATCCACCTCCTGGAGGGGGTTGTACTGTTGACGGACATCATTCCCTTTGATGGGTTTAAACAGCCTCACCTCCAGCAGAGACACAATATACCAGGTGTGTGACTCACCCACATCACCCACAGCCTCTGTGCCATGGCAAAGGGAGGGGGTGGGGGAAACAGAAGTCACCAACACCCTGTCCTGCCAGGGACACCACCCTCCCAGCCCTGCTCAGCAACCACACCAGCTCCGCCCTCTGAGAACACGCTGTATTTACTTCATCGGCTCAGGTCAGCAGGTGAGACAAAGCGTGTGCGTTCACAACCAAGGCCCTTTTAGTCCCTCAGGATCAGGGGATCAACCAAGAGGAGGAGGAGGAGGAGGGATGGAGAGCCTCGCCCTTCTCCCCTTGCAGTGTGCCTGGAAACCGTGGGCCGTGGCCTGTCCGGGGTGCGCAGCATGGCAGGGACAGGTAGGTGGGAGCTGGGTTCTCCCAGGTCTGTTTCAAGCAGGGGCTCAGGAAGGGCTGGGAAAGCTCACTGGAGTCCTGGGCGTGGCTGCAACATGCTACTGCCTGGCGACGGCCTGAGCTCTCCTTGGGGCTGGTCTGCAACTGGCTTCTGAACACTGGTCCTTCTCAAGGGCAAAGAATGCCCGGGCCCTGGGGGCAGCCTGGTGACAAAACTGTGGTCCTAGAGCTTGGGGGCAGCCGCCCCTATGTCCC